GTTTCTCCTTTTCAAAGAATACTTCCACTTGTGTACATGGGTGTCGATCCCGGGGGGGATGGGGGGGGGGGGATATATCCCCCCAATATTTCAGGTGGGGGGGGGGTGGCCTGTACAATCATCCCCCCCAATAATTCACCATCAAAAAAAAAAAGATAAAGAGAAAAATTAAGGATGAGAGCCCGATGGGAGTAGTTAATGGTTATTACTCGCAAGATGACCATCAATATACACATTTTGCTATCTCATTTTCATAATACATACATATATACGAAGTAAATAAGACAACCGTATATGAGACAAGAATAAATTGAATTCTCGCTCATACGGCTTCATCAGGAATTGATGAATTTATTCAATTTGTTCAATCAACAGCATCATAGAAATGCAGTGCGCCAAATGCAAAGACGCTGCGTCAAAAAGCAACGAGCTAAATGTTAAGCGCGAAGCGCAAAAATAGCAATCTGCAATGCACATCAGACAATCCTGGACAGTGTACACATAGATGAACTCTGTGACGATTTCGTGATGAGATCGGAGACAAGGAGAAAGATTTTCGGACATTAGTATGACTTATAAAATACATGTTATGTACTTATGCGCTCTACATGTACTTGTTATGTTGTTTCCGTTCACCCTTTTTAAAATTCACGTCATTGTATCTTTATTTTTGTTTTTTTCACTCATTTTATTTCCTGATATTTCCTAAAAGATTTTTCATTTTTGGAGAAAGATTATTATGTCACAACTTATTTGTAACACAAATTATTTTCAGTGGGGAAACTGAATTCAGACAAGGATTAATATAGAGAACAGTACAACGAATCGTCTTCTTTCTCTAATAATTCAGTGAAAGGGGCAAAGCTGTTAGGGGGCAACTGAATTCAGCGTAATAATCAAATGAAACGTCAAAGTACACGATACAACGAAGCGTCTTCTTTTACAAATAATTTAATGAAACGTGAAAGCTTCCGCGCTAAGCGCGGAATGGGCGAAAATGAATACAGACAAGGATTAAGAGTAATAATTTATTGAAACGTTAAAGCTTCTGCGCTTCGCGTGGTAGGGGGGAAACTGAGTTCATGAAGGACACGATACAACAAATCGTCTTCTTTCACTAATGTGAAAGCTTCCGCGCTTCGCGTAGGAATGGGCAAAAATGAATTCAGACAAGGATTAAGAGTCGAGAATGGTACATAGGATCGTCTGCTTTCTTTAATCATCTAATGAAACATCAGAGCTTCCGCGCTACGCGCGGGGAAGGGGGAATTTGATTCAAACATGAAGGATTAAGAGTCGAGAATGGTACATCGAATCGTCTTCTTTCTTTAATAATCTGATGAAACGTCAGAGCTTCCGCGCTATGCCCGGAGAAAGGGGAACTTGATTCAAGCAAGGATTAAGAGTTGAGAATGGAACATCGAATCGTCTTCTGTCTTTAATAATCTGATGAAACGTCAGAGCTTCCGCGCTATGCCCGGAGAAAGGGGAACTTGATTCAAACAAGGATTAAGAGTCGAGAACGACCCGACGAATCGTCTTCTTTCTCTAATTAGTGAAACGTCAAAGCTTCAGCGCTTTGCGGGGGGAACTCCCCCTCCCTGCACGCAACCCCCGAGGGACCGCGCTTCGCGCGCTCACTACCGCCCCCTAAAGTGATATCCTGGTTACGCGCTTGGGAGGGGTGCAACTTGCCACACGCTTCTACCTCTTGATTGCTTTGATCCATTGCCGAAAATATTTGGGCACCTATCATCCCCCCAACCACGGATACACATCGACACCCTTGCTTGTGTATCATAATAGTACACTGCTTGTGCATTATTGAATAATGACTACATAACTTTCATAAGCACGTATCCAGTATTTTGTCTCCGTGTATTTTACAATGTGGTCTGAAATTACCTTTATCTGCTCATGCTCAGACTGCAACCGTGAACTGGCTTATTGTGACATAGGCAATGGTAACCCTAAAACGGTAAATACTATATATACAAGAATATTTAAAGTGAACATCGGATAAAAGATGCGCCTCCAATCACACCTATGATAATCTATACCTAGGATTAAACATTTCAGAAATCACTTCAGCATTATCACCTCAGAGCAACATAATAAGATGGTGTCTTTTTACAGAACCACATTCAATCATTTTCCATTTAGTGGTAACTGTCAATAAATATCATTATACTATTGGTTGATTAATCCTTTCGATTAAGAATTAACGCCATTATGTTGGTTATTGGTTTATCGATATTGAATTTCAATTTTAATACTTATTTTTCCGTAGTTTATAGTACACTTTTTTTGGTATTATCTATTATATTAATAAATTGTTTGTGGTAAAGACAAACATTAATCGCGTACACTAAATAAGATATTTGAGGAGAAAAGGATATCACTTTAAATTGTTTCTTGATAATTTTGTTAAATAAATATTTGCCTTGTTTTGTGTAAACATAACAATTATTGAATGCAATTCACCATACACACTATAGATAGACAAATAAATTTGAAGTTGCATGAAAATAATTCGATTCGTTTCCGTTATAAATCTTTCTTTCGGTCCCTATCTTTTCAGGCTCTACCTTACAAACACATCCCCTCTATCCCCACTCCTTTATCCCTTCTCTCTGACTCTTCCCCCCTCTCTCTCTCTCTCTCTATAATCTCGACATCTTGTAAGTGTTGATGTTACTGCCTGGGGTGGTGGTGGTGGTGGTGGTGGTGGGTGGTGGTGGTGGTGGTGGTGGTGGTGGTGGTGGTGGTGATGGTGGTGATGGTGGTGATGGTGGTGCTATAGTGGTGGTGTTGGTGGTAATAGTATTTTGTTTTGTACGTACCTGACCAGGCCTGGAAGAGCTGTGCTCCCATCTTACATTTTGCTATCGAACTACAATGTATCATTATAGGCGTACAAGCTGCACCCATCTCCCCACCTCCTCCCTCCTGAGAATGTATCATCAACACATTAAGAGCAACTACCAACTCGCATCGAGTAGCGTGGTGGTTTATTTATACAATTTATATCAATATCTTCTAGATATATATTTAGATGGAAACAAAATATTGGCACTTTACCAAGTCAGCCATTCATGCAACGGGGCCCTTACGCCTATGTCGACTGCGATGGGATTTTTTTTGCTAAACGTTGCATTTGGAGTAGTATGTAAGTTCAAATGTTCAAGTCGTATTATCAAAGAATTAGTAAAAACACATTACATATCCTTGTATGATACGCATTTAAACACGGAATATATTCACAATTTCACAATAGACCAGTTTACGGTTAGCACATGTCCCAAATGACCCCGAATATCCAAAGATCTTCAAAACATGAAGAGGTCCCACTTTATACATTTTTTAATAAGCACTCCTACGGCGATGGAGGTGTTACATAAATAGCCTTTGTTTTTCCTTTTCAAAGAATACTTCCACCTGTGTATCATTAAAGTGCACTGATTGTGCATTAATGAATAATGACTTCATAACTGTTATAAGCACGTATCCAGTATTTTGTCTCCGTGTATTTCACAATGTTGTCTGAAATGACCTTTATCTGCTCATGCTCAGACTGCAACCGTGAACTGGCGTATTATGGCACAGGCAATGATAACCCTAAAACGATAAATACTATAGTTATATACAAGAATATTAATGTGAACATCGGATAAAAAGATGCGCCTCCAATCACACCTATGATAAGCTATACCTAGGATTAAACATTTCAGAAATCACTTCAGCATTATCAACTCAGAGCGACATAATAAGATGGTGTCTTTTTACAGAACCACATTCAATCATTTACCATTTAGTGGTAACTGTCAAAATAAAATCAATCATCTGATAACCCTTTCGATCAATTTAATATTTCATTTTCGTTTCTAAAGCTAAACTTTTAAGCGTTCTATCAATGATATATACGTGAATGTACGAAAGAAATCTATGACCGTATATGAATACTGATCTAAGTATAGTATACCAGTGGCTAATGGCCGCCATGGATTATCATGTAATTGTTTCGAATAACTTTAGATAACAATTCATTTTAATGTCTAGTAATTGCCCTCAATGTCTCTAATAAGAACCCAATCATTTACTTCACCGTGCTTTCAACATTGCTATGTATTATATATACAAGCTATATATGTACATACTTAATACATAAATGCAATGATAAGCATTGTATGAGAACATAGAATACATGAATATACAGTAGCAATTCAACCAGAAATAATTACATAATTAAGTCAATAAATACCTACTTGTGAAATTAGCCCATATTGTGTGAGATAACTAAAGCCTTTGTCTATGATTGTTTACACTCGAACAAAAGCTTTAGTGTTCTTTACTACATATAAATCTCCTTTCTGCAATTAACTGTTATTACGTTTCAAAACCGGACGCAATGGTTCACAGATTTACCTTAATACAAAATGAAAGCAAGTCTACTATATGTCTTGTAATGAAGATTATACCAGTTCACACGAAACAAGTTTAAAATGACCCATGAATATGATTATTCATTGTAACATAAAAATGTCAAATTCTGCGCATTTAAAAGACCAATGAAGTGCATAAGGTACTCTGTAACCGTCGCTTCGTACATTAAAAACAATATATATATATATATATATATATATTTCCATAAACTAGGCACAAGATGATTACCATGTTTATACAATTTTCAACAATAATCTTTACTATTCTAACATAAACAAATTATAAGTCTTTGCAGCTTTTAAGAAAAGAAAATGTTGCAGCATTATTACAGCGACACATTATAGCTTATATTGTAGGTTATAGTGGACAGCAGTACTGCCTCTAGTTGATCTACCAGTTAAAGTTGCTCAAGCGTGGGTATAACGTCGTTCGTGAAGTAGGCAACTTGGCGATCACTCCCGATCACTACATAACACTGAGCCAATGGGTATTACGCTCACGTGCGTGCGTACGTGTGCTGCCCTCTATATACCCACGCTTGAGCAACTTTAAACCCTCTAGTCTTCTTGAGCCTCACTTTTCCTCAGGGTTGTAACACTGGTTTCAGCGTCTCCATGGCTGAAGAGCGAATGTGGCTTGATCGTTCCGGAGAAGAACAGTGCCTTGATAGCCTTTCTGAATTCTGGATGGCGAGCCGTATAAATGATGGGATTGGCACAGGAGTTGAAGAAGCCGAGGAGAGTGAAGATACTGTTGAGACTGCTGTACCGGTATGACGTCGGGACCAAACCAAGGTTGTAACCGAGGAAAGCGATCTGGTTAGGGCTCCAGCAGAGAACATAGATGAGGATGACGATCAGCATCAACTTGAGGATGCGGTTCTTAGCAGTCACGTGGAACGTGGCTTGGTTGTTGTTGTCGTTGGAGCCGTTAAGGAACCTGGTTGATTGGCGATGAAGGGTGACAGCGATGATGGTCTGGGTGATCAACATGGTCAGAGTGGGTATGACAATGCGGATAGCGAAAACAAAGCATCCATAGGCGATCTTTTCCGTGTCGTTCCGGTAGGTGATGATGCATCTGTTGGTTTGTTTGTTGACCCGGAAGAGGATGATCCCTCGAAGGCCGGACAAGAACGAAGCAATCCAGATGATGATGACCCAGATAGACACGGTTCGTCTTGTTAAGGTACGACTGAAGTAGAGAGGAAAGACCACGGCGACGAATCGTTCTATGGCGATGGCCATCAAGGTATAGATAGAACTAGTTATACACACCCACATCGGAAAATTGGGGTAGATTATTTTGCAGTAGGCATATCCGGCCCAGGTATCAGGGATCCTTTCATGCCTTGGGACCGGGATCAGGAACACAGAAGTGAGGAAGTCCGCAGTGGCCAGAGCTGCGATCAAAGTGTCGGTCGTTCTACAATACTTTCGCCTCTTGAACAGGACCATTAAGACTAGAAAGTTACCGATTATACCGATGATGGCGAACAGCAGCTGCAGGATCAAGACCCAGGTCCATTGGATCGGATTCCAAACCCAAGAGGCCAGAGTGTCCCGATCCTGACCTATCCCATCCTCACTGACGGTAGAGATAGCTGTGGTATTACTGGATGTCGACGTCCGTGACACTTCGGTGATGTCTTCTGGTTCTGTCGTCCAATCTTCCAGAGTCCATAGCTGTGATGGGGTGGTAGCAGTATCGGTCGTAGCGCTAACCCTGATTACAAATATGAGTAACGCAATCCGTATGAGCTCTGTAGAAGACATCTTCATCTCGCTTCTGAGGATTGAAAGTAAAATCGAAATGCTCATTGTCAATATACAAGGAGGGTGCACGATATGGAACGTGGTAACTTTCAGTGGCTATTAGGTGCTTAAAAGTGTGAGATTAAATCAAACACATTCAGGAATCATAGAAAGTATACTGTTGCAACAGAAATGAAGAGCATTGCTGTGTCGATGACTTTGCATGATTAATCTTAATATCTACATAGTTTAGGCATTCGCACCTATCTATCTTACTTTAACAAGGTCAGGTAATAAACAAATAAATTGAAGACAAAAGTTCTTGCATGTTGAAGTTTTCACGAGAGCATCGGTAAATGGAATTGCATCAGACACGATATCGAGAGACTTTCTCATTCATTTTTTCTTTAATCCATCTTAAGAAGGTAATCCTCAGGTATTAGTTTAAACAATAAACTCTGTTCTCTACTCAGGTCTCAAAACACATTTATATCCTATTTGTATCACATAGTTATAAATCTCGGTGTCACCCTTTAATACACACAATGAAGGAAGGAGACGAGAATAATGAATAATGAAACATGACAAACAGGTCAAATAAACTTGAGCAAAAATCATGAGAATGGTCTGGTGATTTTCCCCAAATAGAACTTCCCCGAAAGGAATGAACATCAAACCTCTGGGTTCTCTCTCTCTCTCTCTCTCTCTTTCTCTCTGGCGCTCTGCTGTACAGCATGTTTTAAGCATGAAAAGCACTTTATTTGTTCTGTCTTGACCACTTCTTTCATCTTGTAGTATGTATCCTTTCCTTTGATACCATTTGACATCATTACTCTTTTCCTGCCCCTCTGTCCTTTTCCACCGGATTATGAGTTCGGCTACTGTTTGATGCAAACTTGAAGTAACCACACGAATTACAATTTCGTCACGGCTTAATTTTATAACGACGTTAAGAAACTTAAAATAAAAAGGGCGAGGGACTAACGTATACCAGTCATTTTATATTTGCTTTATGAAACAAAGAGACGAGATGAGATTCAAATAACAATAATGGATTCAGATTCAATTAGGTGAAGTGTACGTGTACCCCAATAATAATACTATTTATATGTGTGTGTGTCCTTGGGAGTCCATTAAATTTAGCGTAGGCCTATTGTTGATTTTCTAACATTAAAAAAATACGTGATTCTCCTCGTATGCACAACTTGATAGGGATTTTTCTCTCTCTGCTCCTGGATTGTCATATTTCTCCTTGTTTTCGAAATTACTTTTTTTAAGAGAAAAAATAAACTTGAACACATTTTTGCAAAAAATTGTGTCAAAGCCGTAATTGTTCACATCATGCTTCGTTCGCTTGTGTCATTTGTTTGCGCTATCATGATCCATTATATTTGAAATCCATTATGGCTCGGAAAAATAAAATTCACCCTCCGACAACATATCCGATGGCCTTATAAGTTTTATTCTTATGGCCTTAAAAATTGTTCTTCTTTCTCAAAGTATATTCGCATCGTTATTAGCCTACAAACACAATAGGCACGCGTTTGCTTGACGCAAGTGGTACTAACTTTGGAATTACTCAGTTGGTGGTGATATGACAGAATTGCTCGATTTCCATTTTCTTGATTGAATATTAGAAGATGTAATGGTGTCGGTAGAGGTAAAAAGCGGTGTGACATTTTGGATGCACAAGGTGAGCAGAAGAAAATATACTTCGAACGTGAATTAGTTGATATTTTTTTAAAGAAACGGAAGGAAATGAAAGTATATAATGCAGGCCATTTGAATGACGTTGGAAGATAATGAAAGTACTATTAGAATAGAAAACGGGGAAAGGAATTAGTGAAAGTTTAGATGGTACATGTAGTATGATAGAGATCCTAGAAAGGTGATAGTTTTGTGGAGGTGAAGAGCTGGAGAGAGAAAGAGGGAAAGGAGAGAAAAAGGAAGAAAGATTTAATATATATATATATATATATATATATATATATATGGATAAAGATAGAGGTATACAAGAGGGGAGAGAGAGTGGGAGGACGAAGACAGGGGAAAGCAGATAAATATAAATAAAGATAAATATTTAGAGTATGCCATCAGTATTATAGACCTATGATAGAGCTAGAGACCAAGCGATATGATTAATTTTGAAGAATCTTTGCTCTGATTATAAAGGTTATCATAATTATGTAGCACACGTGCATTTTAAACATTCATCTGCTGATAGCCAGAAGGACATTATTGTCATGATACTCTTACTCTCAAAGGGCGTATAATTAACGTCCTTCTGGCTCTCAACAAGAATAGAGCACGTGTGAACAAGTGGGTCTGTTCAGGTACCACGTAGCACAATCAAATAAGGGCGTGTTCCTATAAGTTACAAAGATTTACTCGTAATGTATAATGTTCACGGTATTGATTTATTGAAAATTTCTGGAAATAAATGGAACCTATAACATGAGAGTCGGCCTTTCATATCATGTGAAGTTGAAATTTGAAGTTGAATAGAAAAAATTAGTTCGCATGAATATTTCAGAAAGATCTGGAAGAAAGTGTGATATCAAAATGAAAACATAAGAGGATATAGCTTTTTAGGCAAGGAACATGCAGAGACTTTGGGTTACATGTTGAGTTTACGATACATGCTCACCATAATAATCCGTCTTATTTCTCCAAATGTGTCTGATAGTATGGGATCCCAAAAGCGTTCGGGTTACTTGATAGCATCAACATTTTAACTCCTCTCAATAAGATGACAAAAAACTTTGCATCTTCAATTCATAAATGAAACCTTTCAGAATTGATAAATAGCATCGACCGCTTGTCGGTCTGTTTTGACAGAGATTTGATAGAGGAAGTGGAGTCTTTTAACCCTCTTAGCTAGCATGGATGGAAGAAACGCTTTCTTTACAAAAAATTAAGCATCAAAACGAGTGAAATGCTTTCTCCTGCTTCTAAAACTAGATCTGATTTTATATTGACGGAATAAAACGATCAAATTTTCTGTTTAAAAACCCTCGCATCTTGGTTTTTCAATCTTTCTTCTCTCTCGCTCTCTCTCTCTCTCTCTCTCTCTCTCTCAAACACACATTCGATGTTTACAACTGAATATGCTACCTTCGTAATTCAAACAAGAATGAAGTTGTCATATAAGTGCTTTAAATTTCTGTTTATTGATCCGGCCTACTTCTTTCCAATTTGCAATCTTCAATTCAAACTTTCACTGTGATTTTGTTTAAATTCCTTAGACCTTACAAAAAGTTTAAAAAACGACTTTTAAAGGTATTGTGAAAATATAGGTTAAATAGCAAGCACTTCTGTGTAACGCGTATATAGTTTTGCACGCATACATGCTGTCTTCAAAAACTTATAGATTTCTTTCTATAAAATACTTTTAAAGCATATCGTACATCTTTAAAAGCTAATTCATTGGCAGTTTTTTTGTTGTTGTGATATTCACTCTATTTTGTCTTCAACTGACATAGTTTGTGTATTCATATCTGTATTCGCAATTAACTTATTACTAATTAAGTTTATGCCAACTGTAAGTTTCAATTTACCCAACAATAAAATTCAACACTAAATAACATCCATGTACTAGAATTCAAATGAAAATATAAGCAAATGAAATGGCACTTTTATATTTTACCTTTTTTCATTGTAGCAGATCACTCTTCTTCCTCTCTCTCTCTCCTCTCTCTGTCGTCTTCCCCAGCTTGTCTTTTCTCATTTCTCATTTTCTATTGTTAATTTGTAATTAGAAATTTGCCTATGTTTATTATCAATTTAAGGTGCAATATTTTGAACAGTTCTCCTCAATCTCTAAACTCAATTTTTAGTTCTTGTCTTCCTCTTCTCCTTCTTCGTTGATTCGTCTACCTTCATTCCAATTGTATGTGTTTTGATAGAAGATTTTCATGTGCAAGAATTATCACAGTACATCTGGATTCTTTGTGATACAAAAAAACACTGTATCAATGCATATTATTCAGAAGGAAATCTTTCAAAATGCAATTCCATTACCAGAATTGGAGATTTCGAAAGATCTCAAAATCCACGCTTACATAATTTATTCGATTGCAAATGGAAATTTGAACACGATAAAAATATAAAAATCGATTTCTATACTTAAATTATGACTAAGATTACACAAATTTGCAACAGACACATATTAATCTCTCCTGATTATTTTGTTGTTTGTCAGTTTTAATTAATTTATCTATTCATTTAATTTGTAGTTCGAGCACGAACATTTTATGCTAAGAATTGATCATTATGATCTCCAGACATATAACAGACACCTGAATTGTATAATAACTGGGGGAATGTCGTGTAGCGTGGGTCAGCTAGGCTATTATAAAGAGGCAATAGCATCATCGATGGAGAAGGCGAACTGCTCCGATTTGGTGTAAGAAATGTGAATCAACATTGCTACCAAATCGGGAGATTGTAAGACGGTCCCTATCATCTTCTTTTCATGTTCCCTTTCCCCTCTCCCCTTTCTTTTTCTCTTTTTTCCTTTTTTTAAAGTAATTTTTCGCATTTGGATGAGGGGCACGTGCGCCCATGCCCCCATATACGCTACTGGCTGGGAGACTGCTAGTAGGAGAACAACACTAACTAAGGCAGCTTCAAATGACGCTAGAGAGGAACAAGATAGTTCGCTTTTTAAATGTAAAAAGCGAGAGGGAAATGTTTCTTATATTATGTTAGAATCTAACATGTAATTCTAAAATGTATTTTAGAATCACCGCGTAATAAAGCGACAGGTCTGGACATAATTCCATCAAGTATTCTGAAAGACACGACTCTGCTTGTGTTCATAGGTTCATAGAAGTGGGGGGGGGGCAGGGGGGGCAGTTGCCCCCCACCAGTCAAAAAAAAAACAGTAAAGGAGTTAAGATGGTTTGTATTTTTAACCCAAATAAACATAACAATAATAAAAACCTGACTTAAATGACGTATAAAATTCCATTCAAAGAAAAGGAAAGTTGACAGGAATTAAATTTCCTAAATATTGCGCA